AATTGAGGCTGCCTCTGACTTTGATTTCAAAACCACTAACCTTCTTCGGCACAGTGGGTGTAAGAGAAGGGGGTGCTGGTGCTGCAGCCCACCCTGCTCACCACCAGGGAAACTGAGGTCGGCGGGGGAGCTGCAGGAAACGCCGTGACAGGACAGCCAGCCACCACCGTGGCTCTTCAGTTCAGTTCCAGAAACATCCAGTGAGTGCCTACTATGTGCCAGGCCCTGTGCTCAGGTCTGGGTCTCAGGCCGTCGCATCAGGTCATACCAGGCGGAGGAGACAGACGTGTGGGGTGCGTGTGCTAGGACTCAGGCCTGACGCCCTTGAACCGCTGTTTCTATGGCATCATCACCTCTGGAAAGCCTTCCTGAATCGCCTTGTGCGTCCATCTAGAAGGGAGTTAGACATGCAGTTCTGAAGTTCAGGAGCAGGCTCTGGGCTGAAGATCAAGGTCCAGGAGTCACCATTTGGGGTCCTTGCCCAGAGAATTGCCACAGGATGCTGCAAGAAGGGGGCGCACCGTAGTGGGTCAGGGCAGTTGGATAGAAATAGCAAGTGTAGACAGCTCTGGGCCAGAAAAGTTAAGAGCAGGATGGGGTTGCAGGGCAAGAAGGACTTGATGTACTCATGTATTTACAGGTGGGGAGGGACTTGAACATTTATAAAAGCTCAAGGGAAGGAGGCAGTAGAGACGCTGACATCCATGTGTTTCGCCATCATCGATTACGGGCGTGATGCGCCAGGGCTGGGGAGACAGCCGTGATGAGGGCAGGCAGGGAAACTGCTCCCCTGTAGCTCATGTTCCTGTGGGGAAGAGCCAGAGAGGAAGTGGGCAAATCTATAAACAAGCTATCTGGGCATAACGATCAAGGAGGTGAAGAAATAAACAGGGAGATGAGAGAGAGATGGGGGCCATTTGGCCAGGATGGTCAAGAAGCGTCCTCAAGGAGGTGACTTTTGAGCGGAGAGCCACGTGACAAGCAGGTGGCAGGAAGAGAAGGTGGGGACAGGTGGGGCAGGGGGGTGTCTGTGGACCGGAGGGTTGACCTTGACCAGGAAGTGGGGAGCTCTTGGTTCTCGGGCGGCAGAGGGCTGTGGGGAAGGATGCTGTCTGTGGATGTCTGGAGGTGGCTGGAAGGTGAGAAAGGTGGTGGCGGACAGCCCCAGCTCTGGCTGAGGCTGCGCCCGCACTCCCCTAACAGAGATGCGTGGCGAACTCACAGGCTCGCTCTGCCGCCCAGCCTCCCGCCTCT